TAGAATAGAATAGAATAGAATAGAATAGAATAGAATAGAATAGAATAACAAGAGTTGGAAGGGACCTTGGAGGTCTTCTAGCCCAACCTCCCTTCTCAGGCAGAAAACTCTATACCAAATTTGGCAACTTTAAGACTTGTGGACTTCAAGTCTCAGAATTGCCCAGCCAGCATGACTAGCTGGGGAATTCTGGGAGTTGAAGTCCACAAATATTAAAGTTGCCAGGTTTGGAGACCCCTGTCCTATACCTTATCTCCTCCTAATTTTCCCACAGCAGTACCCCTATGAGGTGGGTTTGGCATAAGAAAAAATGACTGGCCCAAATTCCCCCAGCTGACCATGGGATTCATCTCATATCAAATACTTAGAACCAAAATCTTAACATTCTCCAAATATATGTCTTTGGACAACCATTGAGCACAATATACCTCAAAGGGGTCAGTAAGGGTTATTCTATTATTTTCTTAGGGATTTCTTGTTTGTTTGTTTTGTTTTAATCAACATAAGTGATTAGTGACTATTGCATTGTCTGAGTTATTTTACTTATACAGTCCAATATTAATAACAATAATGCTAACACTAATGCTAATAATAATTATAAAGTTTCAATAATTATAAAGTTATTCACTAGTGGTTCTGGTTCTGTTCTGTTCTATTCTATTCTATTCCCATCCACTCCAAGGGAAGGGTATTGCAAAATCTCCATTCCCACCTCATTCCAAGGGAAGGATACGGTAAAATCTCCATTCTCTCCCCACCCCACTAACCTGCTTTCCAATTCTATTCTCCCATGCAGGGCAACAAAAGAAGACCAGCCTATCAGCTGGGACTTGGGAGGCAGAGAATACATGGGGCGGGGCCAGTTGCTGGTTCTTGAACTACTCAAAATTTCTGCTATTGGTTTTCCAGAACTGGTCAGAACCTGCTGAATACCACCTCTGTTCCGGTTGCTTGGGTCTGACATTGACTATGGGCCCAAGCTCTCCTTAAAATTACAATAATCGGTAGATAAGATTGTGGAGTGACAGAAATTATCTCAATAACATAAAAGGACACTAAGGCACAAAGTTCCATAGGGCCAGCCACCTCTGATTATAAATTCAAGCTATGAGATGATCTCTCTGATTTTCATGGGGCAATTGTGACATTCCAACATTTTTGGAGTTGAGATTCTGATTTAGGATCTGCACCTTGGGAATATCAGCAAGAATAGAAGGAAATGATTCTGCCTTGCTCCTAGATTAAACCTTTCTTACCATCAGACTCAGAAAGTATTTTTGATTTTCCCCTTACTCAAAGGGACGTGGTGGCTCAGTGGCTAAGACGTTGAGCTTGTTAATCAGAAAGGTCAGCAGTTTGGCGGTTTGAATCCCTAGCACCATATAACAGAGTGAACTCCTGTTACTTGTCCCAGCTTCTGCCAACCTAGAAGTCCGAAAGCATGTAAAAATGGAACTAGAAAAATAGGGACCACTTTGATGGGAAGGTAACAGTATTCTGTATGCCTTTGGCATTTAGTCATGCCAGCCACATAACCATGGAAACGACTTTGGACAGCGCTGGCTTTTGGCATTATAATAGAGTTGAGCACCACCCCCTAGAGCTGGAAATGACTGGCACGTATGTGCAAGAGGAACCTTTATCTTTAATCATATGAAGATAGTGTGTAACATCAGGGGACATCTGAAGTAATGAGTTTTGTTTTGCTTTTTGGAGGAATTCTTCACCCAGGACATCAATGGTTATCTGCTGGAGATTTTATAGTGGACCATATATGGGACTAATTGGTCTTTAAATTCACTTTCTATACTGGGATTTCAATGAAATGGAAAAGTGGATGGGTAACACTCGAGTGAGAGGCTGGGGACAAAAAGCATATGAAGAATGGTTGCAGGATTTGGGTTTAGCTAGTCTAGAAAAAGGAAGGACTAGGGCAAGGGTCTTCAAACTTGGCAAGTTTAAGACTTGTGGACTTCAACTCTAAGAATTCCTAAGCTAACTGTCAGCTTTAAAATTCAGCTCCCCCCCCCTTTTAAAGAGAGTTGGAGGAGTTGAAAAGTTCAAGGTTATTCTGTATGTCGTATGAAGAAATCCCAGTGGCAGTTAATTGGTTATTGTGATTTATGAAGTGTAGAAGTGGGAGGAGAGAAGGGAGGAGAGAAGGTGGATTCTGTGTAACGTGTGAAAATAATTTCACTTGGGAAATTACCTTTGACATGCCAGATCTGTTTCTAAATAAATCAATTGGAGAGAAAATGTCTCAGAGTGATTGATATCATGGATACTTTCTGGATGCCTGACATTTATTTCCCAAGTCAAACTTTTTTTTTGAAGGGACTTGGCTGATACCCCGGAGTTTTTTTCCTTGAGATGGAGAAAGATCAACAATTAGCCAAAGTTGGAGATATGCAGGCGGGAGAGTATGGGGGCCCTCCCTCCAGAACATTAATTGAATCTGCAAGCCTTTGTTTGGAGAAGATGATGGATGCTTTCAGAATGACAGTAGAAGAAAGAGGTTTGGGAGCTATACTGAAGCGTTTCAACTCAAGAAGTTGTTATAACCCAGAGGTAACCCAGCTGTTTGAAGAGAAATCTTTCTCAAGCCCCAGGCAGATTGCTATTCTGTCTGATTGGAGGGAGGAGACTATACAGATGCCAGTTGGAGGAAGCCAGAAAGACACATCAACTGATAGAGGTATGTTGCAGCTTCCAAGGCAATCCCTTCATTTTCCAAAGGGAATTTTGCCCCCTGCAGAGAGTATCCCTCCACAGTGGGGATTTTATCCAGGCCAGGGGTGGATTCAATGCCAATGGCAGCCAGCA